GAGAGAGAGAGAGAGAGAGAGAGAGAGAGAGAGAGAGAGAGAGAGAGAGAGAGAGAGAGAGAGAGAGAGAGAGAGAGAGAGAGAGAGAGAGAGAGAGAGAGAGAGAGAGAGAGAGAGAGAGAGAGAGAGAGAGAGAGAGAGAGAGAGAGAGAAAGAGAGAGAGAAAGATCCAACACATATACACAACATCACGTCATATGACTGCTAATGGGGCAACATTATATGCATGGCGGAGCCCCGCATGGCCGGGCCGGCATGGTCGGCCGCCCCGCCTCGCCCTCCACCACTTCAACCCTTACCGCCCCTCGCCCAGCCCCAGCCCGCCCTGCGCCGCCCCGGCCCGACCCGTACGCAGTTATAACCTCTCTCAACCCCTTACATACGAACCAAACTCCTATACCACCTACAGGAGACGCTCGCTAGCCACCACGCGGTCTCCTACAAGCAATATTCCTCCTTGTACTTCCCTGCCGTAAGGATCAATCAATTGAGCATCTATTACGAACAAGGCGGCAATGCATTCCCCGCCTTATGGACTAGTAGAATAGGGGCCAAAGGGGGCAGAATAGGGTGAAATGTGAGCTAGGAGTTTGAAATATGTATCAGAATCAAACGGAACGGCGCTACCTCCACTTTAATGCGAGATGGACACATGTGCTGCAAGAGGAAGGCCCCCCCTGCAATAACGTGCAATAATACACCCTGCAAGGTAGAATCTCTGCAACATTCTAGGCTCCATAAGCCCTTAAAGACTCGCCATAGGTAACAGGAGAGGGAGGGTGACGGACAAGGTAAAGTGGACCTTGCTGCTCCCTGCCGTAGAGGTCATAATGTACTCCGGGAAGACTCTCACGCAGTTGGTAAAACTTGCGCCCGTCGGCACACACGCACACACGCACGCACGCACACACGCACGCACGCACACACGCAAAATTGTACAGTGGAACGCACACACACACTCCCTAGTTAATCTCTCCATTCCCAGCCTCTCAGAGGGTGCCAGGAGACGGGAGGGTGCCAGGAGACAGGAGGGTGCCAGGAGACAGGAGGGTGCCAGGAGACGGGAGGGTGCCAGGAGACAGGAGGGTGCCAGGAGACAGGAGGGTGCCAGGAGACGGGAGGGTGCCAGGAGACGGGAGGGTGCCAGGAGACAGGAGGGTGCCAGGAGACAGGAGGGTGCCAGGAGACAGGAGGGTGCCAGGAGACAGGAGGGTGCCAGGAGACAGGAATATGCCAGGAGACAGGAGTATGGCAGGAGACAGGAGGGTGCCAGGAGACAGGAGGGTGCCAGGAGACAGGAGTATGCCAGGAGACAGGAGTATGCCAGGAGACAGGAGAGTGCAAGGAGACGGGAGGGTGCCAGGAGACAGGAGGGTGCCAGGAGACAGGAGGGTGCCAGGAGACAGGAGGGTGCCAGGAGACAGGAGGGTGCCAGGAGACAGGAGTATGCCAGGAGACAGGAGGGTGCCAGGAGACAGGAGGGTGCCAGGAGACAGGAGGGTGCCAGGAGACAGGAGGGTGCCAGGAGACAGGAGGGTGCCAGGAGACAGGAGTATGCCAGGAGACAGGAGTATGCCAGGAGACAACAAAGAGGAAGTAATAACAGCAGGAGAGAGGGAGAGAAGGAAGGAGAGAGAGAGAGAGAGAGAGAGAGAGAGATCAATAAACGCGAGGAGGGAGAGACTTGAGAGAAAGAATCCCGCCCAAATATTCCTCACTCCACTATTTCTTCCGCCTGCAGGGAAGCATCATCATGCAGGACGGAATGTGGAAGAAAAGTTGTAGATATATTGAATAGTTTGTTATGATAGCAGGCGGGCTGTCCGCTTTGCTGATACGATGTTATGATAGCAGGCGGGCTGTTCGCTTTGCTGATACGATGTTATGATAGCAGGCGGGCTGTCCGCTTTGCTGATACGATGTTATGATAGCAGGCGGGCTGTCCGCTTTGCTGATACGGTGTTATGATAGCAGGCGGGCTGTCCGCTTTGCTGATACGATGTTATGATAGCAGGCGGGCTGTCCGCTTTGCTGATACGGTGTTATGATAGCAGGCGGGCTGTCCGCTTTGCTGATACGATGTTATGATAGCAGGCGGGCTGTCCGCTTTGCCGATACGATGTTATGATAGCAGGAAGCTGTCCGCCTTGCTGACACATTGTATTCACCTAATTGTGCTTGCGTAGGTTAAGCTTCCGTTCTTTGGTATAGCCTCTAAACTGTCAATCAACTGGTATGTAGATTCCTGAGCCTATTGGGCTCTATCATGTTTACATTTGAAACTATGTATGGAGTCAGCCTCCACCACATCACTGCCTAATGCATTCCATTTGTTAACTACTCTGACACTGAAAAAAGTTCTTTCTAATGTCTCTGTGGCTCATTTGAGTACCCAGATTTCAAATGTGTCCCCTTATTCGATTACCACCCATGCTAATCAGTCTATCCTTCTCTACCTTGCCAATTTCCCTGAGAATTTCGAATATGGTGATCATGTCTCCCCTAACTCTTGTGGTGTTATACACGCAGCCTTTCCTAGTAACTCATGCCTCTTAGTTCTGGGACTAGTCTAGTGGATTCCTTTGAACCTTCTCCAGCTTTGTCTTGTGCTTGACAAGATATTGTCACCATGCTGGAGCTGCATACTCCAGGATTGGTCCTACGAATGTGGTATACAAGGTTCTGAACGATTCCTTACACGTTTCTAAAGGTAGTTCTGATGTTAGCCAGCCTTGCATACGCCGCTGATGATATTCTTTTGATGTGTTCTTCAGCAGACAGGTTCGGTGTGATATCAACTCTTAGTTATTTCTCTCTGTACATGTTGAGGAGGACTTCATCTTCCTTTTGGTATCCTGTGTCTGGCCTCCTGTTCCCTCCACCTAGTTTCATTACCCTACATTTATTTGGGTTGAAGTTTAATAGTCATTTGTGACACCATTCTTTCAGTTTGTCTAGGTCAGCTTGTAGCCTCTTGCTCTCTTCCTCACTCTTAATTCTCCTCATAATGTTGACATCATCAGCAAACTATTGAAAGGAACGAGTCTATTCCCATTCCAACTAACTACAGAAATCATCCCCAGAAACCTTGATCACTGTGAGTTATGTTTTTCCTTCCTTGTTTAAGTGCCGTGGTGTTGTCAGGCTTCCACGGAGGAAGCCTTAGAAGGTAGGCGCCAGGCTCCCACGGCACCATGTTGGCTTCCTCACTAACTCCTCTATACCTGGCGACCCACCTGGCAGGTCCCCACCTGGAAGGTCCACACCTGAGAACCGGCCTGGGTTCGTATCCTGGCCGAGGAAGATTGACTGGGCGCCAATCCCTAACTATAGCCTCTGTTCCCCCAGCGGTAAAGGGTACCTGGTTGTTAAACGATTTGGCGGGTCGTATTCCAGGGAAAAATTAGGATTAAGGACCTGCCCGAAACACTATGTGTGCTAGTGGCTAAACAAGAATGTAACAACTCTTCTATATATAAATAAAATAAAACAAAATACCTATCTTTATTAAATTGGAACTATTTAAACATGGACTTTGCTAGGCTGTTCTGGTCATGGCTTTATTAAAATTCTAAGAATGTGACAAGTGTGCAAGTCTATTAAACAATGATTATAGTTCAGCAATTACAATGTGCAACAACAAGCCAGGATGATTTACTAAATTAATTACCAGCAAGTAAAAACAGATCAAATAAATAATAATTTTCTAAATAAAGAAATTACGGCAAATCAGATATTCATTCAGCCGCTCCAGATTCCGCCAGAGGGGTAACTCAAATTAATTCCGGTCGCTATATGTGCTAGTACCTTTAATTACTAAACTGTTTGTGCAGTGCATTACATTAAATAAATTTTAATTTTGGAAAATTAAAGTAATTGTTGTTAACGGTGCTTGGTTCCCAACTCTGAAATGATAGAGAAAATCTGAAATATTGCAGCTTAAAATTTAACTGTGTGGATTAAGTGAAGTTAACAGTTCCAAGTTATCAGACTATTACAGCTACTAAAATTAACGGCGTAGACCAGTATATAATCATTTGATTTTTGTGTATATATATTTTTTAATTTACAGGCTAAGGCATGCTGACAGCCTGGGGCGCCTGACAGCTGGGTGGACAGCGCGTCGGATTTCGTAATCCTGAGGTTCCGGGTTCGATCCCCGGTGGAGGCGGAAACAAATGGGCAAAATGTTTCTTTCACCCTGATGCCCCAGTTACCTAGCAGTAAATAGGTACCTGGGAGTTAGGCAGCTGCTACGGGCTGCTTCCTGAGGTGTGTGTAACTAAAAGGAGGCCTGGTCGAGGACCGGGCCGCGGGGACGCTAAGCCCCGAAATCATCTCAAGAAGATGCTATATAAATACAATTATAGAATTTACAATAAAACAATGGGTACCGAAGTACCACTACATCACAAGAGGACAAAACAACAGCCATAATACATGGTACCCAACAATAAGCACCATACTGATTCCAGCACTAACATGAATTTATGGATATATACACAAGAACACAACATCTAGCATCAAACAATAAAATAATGGGTACAGGTCACTCTGAATCGTACACAGAATCTTCCAGATTGTACATAGTAGGATAATCCTCCCAAGGATACTTCCGACGATACCACCGCCACTCATCCCAGGAGCCGGAGACGGTGGAACACCATTCTTGGCAGAGGGGCGACGCGTACGCAACAAATGAGGCGGTTGCGTATGGATAATTAGACACAGAACCTCGCCTCACAGAGCCCGACTTCACAACAGCTTGTGAGCCAACATCCTTCCGAAGCACCATCACCAAGTTCTTGCTCCCAGCATCTGGCACGCTAGGGGCAACAACCTCCCTCTCAGGGGAGCCCACAGCTGAGGGTGCAGGGTGGCATACAGGAACCAGCACAGAAGCCCCTACACCAGCAGGCGCCACCTCAGCATGCACTTCCGCTACTACCACCGCCACACCACCACCAGGCACCCCAGGCATTTTCTCATTGGCTGAAGACATGGAACTACCATACTCCGCCACATCCACCAACTCAGCACCCCCTGCGGCAGGAGCATCCGCAGAACGCCTTGAATGCTTAGAGTTCGGCTGCAGGTCATCGGAACTTTCCACCTCCAAGATAGCTGACTCCCCAGAAGCGCAGGGATGCCACTCTCAGTCACGCAATCCATGGCTACGTAAAACCTCAGCGGCGGCGACCACCGGGGGCACTGGCCCATATACAACAGGTTGCCACGAACCCCAACATCCCACCAACATGGCAAGCACAGGAGGTACACCGACAGAAAACCGAAGCCGCAGAATGGGGAGGCAGAAAAGGTGTGCCACCAGATGTCGAAGCCACAGTGGTACCATCCACAAAAGTTGCAGGAGGGGGAGGCAGGGAAGGAGTCACACGCTCCACCACAACCACGCCCGCAACACTCATGGCAGGTGCAGAACACACAGATGACGACTGCACAATGACTGATGCACTACCCTCACCAGCTGCATCCCCAACAGCAGGCTCCCGCTGAGGTACAGCACCTGCGAACACATCCATAGTCTCATCCTAAGAGTCCTCTTGAACCACCAGTGAGGGGAAAAGTCCTCCTTGCCGAAGAAATTCCCTCGCTCAAAGACACCTGCAGAGCCCCCGCAGCCTAGTGCCCCGACATCCCACAAGGGAAGCAGGTCCGTGGCTGCCGGGCATAGTACATGCATAGATTATAGACCATTACTTAACTGATGATGGAATGCCAGACTTGAGCTACATCTCCAACGTCCAAATACCGTTTTGGACGTCCTTCAGTCGACTGGAGGATATAGTATTCATCTGGACTGAACGGACACCACCCGCCAAAACTGCCCAAAGTAGTGCCGTAACAACACCTCAGGGAACTCCATAGGTGGCGCCGTGGATGCTGACATACATAGCAGAGCCACTGCGGTCCAAAATAACCACAGACCCAGTAGCACCTTGCAACCGGAACGTGCGTCCGTCAAATCGATGCAGAAAGTCCCGATATGTCTCCTCAGTATAGAGCTTAACCATACCCTCGTGATCAGTTGGACACCACAAACATCACCTACATCAATGCCCAACATGTCAAACAAGTTGGTATCCACTGCAGGGTAGTTCGCAAGGCCTGAATATTCTAGCCCAATCGTCCTAGACTACATCACAGGGGACAAGGGCAGCCCCATTAGCAGGGAAAGCCGGGCACAGAGCCCCCTGTGCCCCCGCCAGAAACACCCCTGAGAACCGCATGTTAGTCTGGAACACCAAATACAGGGGAGGTCAGGCAGCACGTCCGCACCCTATGGCGACCAGGTCGCAACTACATAGAATAACTTAATTGTGATAGCAGTGATATTTGTCCTTTATTCCTTCAGATAAAATCCCCACAGATAGTGGAGAGCACTAATTAATATTGGTAATTATGGAATTTATTCACCAGTTTATTCCAATAAATCGTGTTTATTGCATAATTAACGTAATTATATATATATATATATATATATATATATATATATATATATATATATATATATATATATATATATATATATATATATATATATATATATATATATGATACTTAGAAAGTAATTACTAGTTACACCATAGTGTTGCTTCAATTGCTTTCTTACACCAGTAAATAGTTAATTGTACGCATCTACGAAGTGTACTCGCACGTTAATTACGAATGAGTGAAAGGTTAACAAGCAGATAGTGATTCATTCAAGAAATGCGAATGTCAGTAAGTTCAACCTTGACAACACTGACCTTTCAAGACTTTGTCTGTCATGGAGTGACAGATGAGTGTCAGGTCGGGCAAGACGCAGAGAATTCTTTAATTGTAAGTTCCGCGAGCAGAAGTTTACGACGCTCTTGATGCAGCGAAACTCTCTTGGGTAAACTTTTGCATGCTCTATTGAGAAGTAAACCATTGATCATCATTCATTAGGATCTACGTTGCACTGAACTTTTAGCTGGATACGATGACTGGGAAAGGTGTTAGGTGTGTAATCAGGTTAGGGGGATTGGATTCCTGACTGGCAAGGGACGACGATCCTTGACTGCTACGCTGGCAAATATTAGAACATCATTTAGGAACCTGAATCAAGACTTCTTCAAAGCAATCTACAAAACATTTGTTCGACCAATACTGGAGGTTATCTTGAGATGATTTCAGGGCTTAGTGTCCCCGCGGCCCGGTCCTTGACCAGGCCTCCACCCCCAGGAAGCAGCCCGTGACAGCTGACTAACTCCCAGGTATCTATTTTCTGCTAGGTAACAGGGGCATCAGGGTGAAAAAAACTCTGCCCATTGTTTCTCGCCGGCGCCCGGGATCGAACCCGGGACCACAGGATCACGCGTACAGTGTTCTGTCTGCTCAGCCGCCGGCTCCTTCAGATACACACCATCTGCCGGGACTCCGCACAATTGTGAAACAAAGCCAAAATTTATAAAGGTTTGCAACAAGGCCTGGTGCCAGAGCAAAGAGGGTTAAGCTACAAACACAGGCTAATGGAACTAAATCTCACAATCCTGGAAGACAGAAGGAACAGGGGGGGATATGATCACAACTTACAAGATACCGAGGGGAATAGATAAGGTGGACAAGAGGACACAGGTGGAAGCTGGAAGCACAAATGAGCCATATGGATGTAAGACAGTACTCGTACCCTGTACGAGCAGTTAACAAGTGGAATGCTCTAAAAGAGAAAGTTGTGGAAGCCACCTCCATCCACAACTTTAAAGCCTGCTTCGACAAAGCATCTGAAGATCAGAGTAGTTAGGTTTAAATGCAATAGATACACGGGGACCAGGTGGGGCATTAAGTGCTAAACCTCACTCCCCGTAAATACTGATAAGTAAGTACCAATAGGTACTTACTTGTACCAATAGGTACTTACTTGTACCAATAGGTACTGTAAATATTAGAGATCCGCTGGCAAAAATGGTCAACCGTGAAGCAAGGACGGGAAGGATGGGACAGGTGAAGCACTTCAGGCGAGTTACCGCTGGAACAATAACATCAGTTAGGCCCCGGCGGGAGGGTGCGCACACCGCGCCATCAGCGGCGTCTGCAACGCTGGTGTTTGTCACAACACCCTCCACCACCACTCTTAAAAAAAAAAAACTCCGCCAACTCCGCCATCAAATAAAGTCCGGGAACCAATGATATCACAACGAGCCTCCGGAGATAAACGCTCGAGTTTAAAAAGAAACGAAAAAAAACAAGTGAAAATCACCTTCAATAAATCGATTTCCTGGAGAAGTGTAAAACTGGCGGCAAGAACGTGGCAACCCTCCCAGGCCAGAAGGGCGACCACTCCTGGTCATGGTGCGGAATTTTGGTCTCTGTGGAGCCGACCTTTAGAGTCACTGAGGACTACAATGGGAGGCGGACTGGTTCCCTTGGCATGGGGGGAGGGTGGTGGGGGGGGGGGGGAGGGTGGTGGGGGGGGGGGAGGTCTTGGGGTTGGTTAGGGGGGGATGGAGGGGTTTCTGAGGGTGGGAGGGGATGAGTTGGATGTGATGGAAGGGAGAGTGAGTGGTGGGGGGGGGGGGGGGGGGACAGATCCTTGACAAGAGAGCTTAACTCACCTGCCTTGTGTCACCTTGTGTCACCTTGTGTCACCTCCCTCAGTGGTGGTGGAGTGATATTCTGTGACTCTAAAAGTGTTCTGCAGTCCTTAAATAACCCATCACAATGTATGTTGTAATATTAAATGGAATATAATTTTTGCCAATGATAATAACTCTTGTATAAAATTTGTGTGGATCCCATCCCATGTTGGAGTTGGAAAACATGACTTTGTAGATCGATTGGCCAATGAGGCTTGCAGGAAAGAAAACATTGATTATGACTTTGGACTATCTAATGCAGTTATTAGAAACATACAAATTAAAGAAATTAATTCAGATTTAGAAGAACTAAGAAATGTCCAGAGACCTGAAAGCTGCAGTATTAAAAGTTATGACAAGTTTTGTAATAATAGGTATTTGTATGGTCAGCACAGTAACCGGACCAGGCAATGTGATGTAGTCATTGCGCGAATTCGCTTTAGCTATAGACACATCTGGCCGGTCAGTGAGGCTGAGCCACTACCAGAATATTCAGATTGTAAACTCTGTGATAAACCTTTAATGCATTCACTAGAACACTATATTGTTGAATGTGAAACCGTAGAGGACTTCAGACCTGCTGGCCTCTTGTATCACCAACTGTGTAACTATTTCATTGACTCAGGTGTTCTGGACGACATCCTAACAATTTACCCAAAATTTGCTTGTCCATTTTAAAGAATGAAGAACAATTTTTATTTATATTACTTCTAAGCTGTATCACTTATGAACCCATCCCTGCCCTTGTGTGGCAGTGCACAATAGAAAGTTGTTTTCACATATCCATACATTAAAACATTGATTGTAACCGTGATATATATGTGCTTCAGCCTACAGTTTAGACCTATTGTCTTGTGTATGACCCTCTGTCCTGCGTGACAGTGAATACCAGCATTATCCTCACTTTAATAAGACTTAATTGAAATCCTCAGATTAGGCAAAATTGTAACTAATTTTGTCAATAAAGATGTTAATAATAATAAAATGCCACAAGAGAGAGAGAGAGAGAGAGAGAGAGAGAGAGAGAGAGAGAGAGAGAGAGAGAGAGAGAGAGAGAGAGAGAGAGAGAGCAAGCTTACTACAGTACAGGCACAGAAGCGGACAAACAGCAGTAAAGACCCTAATAATAAACATTAGTTTATTAAATTTATACATTTATATATGCAGTTTTTTTAAGGGATATTATCGTTGCTGGGGCCCCGAGCCTGAAGCTGGCGCCCTCTAGTGGTAGATATTTGTGTCCTGGTGAGGCGGTGGTTGAGTGTTTATGACTGTTGGTTGTGGTAAGATTACCTCCAGTGTCTTGGGCTGCTGGTTGGCCAGTCTCAGAGATGTTTGTCTAGTGTTAGACAAACACAAACAAGCACAAGATGGTGTTTAATTAGATTTCCAAGTACCTCTCTGATGGGAAACAGAGGGCTAGGGTGAGAGACCTCAGCGTGGAGGGAGTTAGCAAGCCACCACATGCAACTAGGCTCGTACCAGACTTGTGAGGCCTGTACTATGAGGAAAGGCTGAGAGCGTTGAACCACACACCACATTAGGAGAGAGAGACACGGAATCAAGGAGACATATTTGATAAGAACATACACCATTCTCACGGGAACTAATGCGACTGACGAAGAGAACACAGTGCTTGTACAACAAGCTACAACCATGGAACTACAACCATGGAACTACAACCATGGAACTACAACCATGG